CTAATGAGGCGGTTGAGGTTGGTGTAGGTGGGACGCTCGATGTCGAGGTTCCTGCGGCARATGTCGTAGATGGCCTCGTTGTCCACCATGAAGGCACAGTCTGAGTGCTCCAGGGTGGTATGGGTGGTGAGGATGGAGTTGTAGGGCTCTACCACTGCAGTGGAGACCTGGGGYGCTGGGTAGATGGAGAACTCGAGCTTGGACTTTTTTCCGTAATCAACGGAGAGTCGCTCCATCAACAGGGAGGTGAATCCMGAGCCAGTTCCCCCTCCAAAGCTGYGAAACACCAGGAAGCCCTGGAGGCCGGTGCACTGGTCAGCCTGCAGAGAGAACACACATGACATTTCTGACATGAAACCCCTTGTCAACATCTGACTTGTCGGGAATTTCTTTAGCACCTGATCCACCTCACGCCACAGCCCAATACAGACCCTTCTCCAGGACGCAGCAAGACTCATTTCTCTGCTCCAGCCCCCAGGAGGATTGCAGAGCTCTGTGTGACAGGCCAGACGCTGGCTCTGCAGTTACCTACCAGCTTCCGGATCCTGTCCAGCACTTGGTCGATGATCTCTTTGCCAATAGTGTAGTGCCCGCGGGCGTAGTTGTTGGCAGCATCTTCCTTGCCCGTGATCAGCTGCTCCGGGTGGAATAACTGTCGGTAAATTCCAGCGCGAACCTCATCTAGGAGAGATCATGGGTTGGTTTTGAGACCAGGAGGCCTGCAAGAGGGCCCCCGAGCAGAGCCATCCCTGCTCCGTCGTCACGGCTCCGCCTGCTACGGGCACAACCTGCCAGCACACGTCAGCGTGGCCGCGGGCGTCAGGTTTCTCTGCATGACGAGGCTGCAGCCACCTCTCTGCAGAGGAGCTCAGCTCCTCCTGGCCCGTTGGAAGCTCCCTCTGCAGAGGCTGCTGCGCAGCAGAAGCTGCCCTGCCGGTTGGGTTGGTTTTTCAGCACGTGTGACATCAGGGGCAGTCAGTATCGCTGCCTGTGGGACATTTCACTAACAAGGGCTTGCACACAAGCCTTGTGGTTTCTCTTTGGGAAAGGTGGCAGAAGTGCCCTCTCCTGCGACCCCCGTGCAGGATCATCTCAGCATACAGGGAGCAGCGGCTCTTTGCTGGGCACTCCTGAGCAGGGCAGTAAGTGGGTATCACAGCCCGTGCTCACACACCTGCAGCACTCACCGATCACGGTGGGCTCCAGGTCCACAAAGATGGCCCGCGGGACGTGCTTGCCGGCCCCCGTCTCGCAGAAGAAGGTGGTGAAGGAGTCGTCCCCGCCGCCGATGGTCTTGTCGCTGGGCATCTGCCCGTCGGGCTGGATGCCGTGCTCCAGGCAGTAGAGCTCCCAGCASGTGTTGCCCATCTGCACGCCGGCCTGGCCGACGTGCACGGAGATGCACTCGCGCTGCAAGGCACGGAGGGAGAGAGGTGGCCTCGGAGCCTGGCCGGGGCCACGGGCTGCTCTGCCTCCCCCCGCAGCTGGGCTCCAACCCCATCAGGCACCGTGCAGGCTGGGGGGCCGTGCCCCCTTCTCCTCCCCAAACACCACGCCAGAAGCGCAGCAAACAGCTCTGCACGGCCGCCCGAGCAGGCCTGGAGAGGGCTCCATGGCAGGCGCCAGTGCCGGAGGCCGTGGCACAAGGGCACAGGGGACAACTGCGGCCAGCTCCCAGCGAGCACATTCCCCCTTGCGCAAACTGCCCCTCGTGCCCGCAGGGCCCCACGGCAGCTGCTGCAGGTGCGGGGGGCGGCTTTGGGAGCCAGCCCTGGCGCCGCTCCCGCCTGCCCTGGATCCCGCCTGCCCGCTGCGCTGGCCAGCGCTGTCCGCCAGCCCCGCACGGAGCAGCAGCTCCACGCAGCGAGTGGTGGCTCTGCGCAGCGCTGCCCCAGCTGCTGCTCGTGCCCTGTGGGGCTCCGTGCCACCCTYGCCGCTGCCATCCTGCCTGGGGCAGCCCCGGGCTGGCGCTCGYTGCAGCGAGGCAGGCCGAGATGCTGAGCTCAGTGGGGTGCAGACCTAACCCAAGAGGAGCGTCCTGTCCAGCGTGGTTGTCCCCACGCTGCCCCTGCTCGGGGCTGGGGAGTCTCCAACTACCCAAGCGAGGGGCCGTTGGGGCTGTGGGATGGGAGGAGAGCAGCCCTGGAGCTGGGCATCTCCGAGAGGCACAGACACTGCCTGGGCTCTGCAGACGGAGCTGGGGCACCAGGCGGCAGGCTGCAGATGTGCCCCAGCCCTGCCCTCGCGTAGGGAGCGGGACCCCAGGCTCTGCTTGGGAGAGCAAGACCCTGAGCTCCGCTTAGGAGAGCATGGGCGCTCCCTGGGCACTGGACGCTCACACAGAGCTGGGATGGGGACTGTGCCCTGTCCAGCGCTGCTCCTCAGGTCTCCGGGAAAGGACAAGTATTCCTGTATCTCCCCCCACTGCCACTTGCCCTGCCTCAGAGTGCCGGGATGAAGAGCAGCAGTTGGTGGGGAGCTGGGGGCAGCATGGGCTGGCAGACCCTGGGCCGGTGCTGCCCCTGGGCTCGGGCAGTGCCGCCTGGCAGCACAGTCCCCCCTCCCGAGGTGCTAAATATAGCCCGGGCCCCGAGGCGAAGGCAGAGGCGATTACCCAGTTAAGAGTGTGGACCCAGCCCACGCCAGCGCTCCCACAGCCCCACGGTGAGGGGCGGCCCCTCGGCGCGGCCCCCGTGCGCAGCCCCGACGGGGCGGCCCGGGGCTGTGTGCAGGCGGGGAGGGCCCTGGCGAGCCCCCCAGCTCCGGCCCGGCCGGCGCCTCCGGCCGCGGCAGCTGTCCCCGTCCATCTGCAGCCACCGGGGGGGTCACCCTGCCGAGCGCTGTCCCCGCCGAGCGCTGCCCGCTCTGCGCCGGGGGACCCAGGCGTCCTGCGTCGAGGGGCTACGCAGGAGCCGCGCAGGGGCCTCGGGCGTCCAGGGGCAGGGACAGGGACAGGGACAGGGGAAGGGATCGCTGCCCAAGGTCACGGCGAGGGGGAGCCGCTCCACCGCAGCCCCGCCGCGCTTGCCCGCCCCGGGGGCAGCTGCGGCCCCCCGCGCGGAGCCCCCGCGGTGCCGGTGCCGGTGTTGGTGCCGGTGTTGGTGCCGGTGTCGATGCCGGTGCCGGTGCCGTTCCGCACTCACCATGCTGCGGCGGCGGCGCTCCGGGCTCTGCCGGCGGCTCGGTGCGGCGGCGCTCGGCGCGGAGCTGCGGCTGCGGCAATAGCCGCCGCAGAGCCCTCTTATAAGGGGGAGGGGCTTGTGCCAGGCACGCCTCCCTCATTTGGGTATATTTGCATGCGAGGCAGGAGTCCCGTCCCGTCCGCCCCCCACACACCGGGGGGGAGGTTGGAGAGGGATGAGTACGGGACAGTGGGACCTGCTCCAGGCTGTCCACAACCTCCTTCAGAGGTCTTCAATGCAGGGCACCTATAGGTGCCCCAGAGCAGCTCCCWGGCCCCTCTGCATCCCCTCCTGGGTGTGCCAGACTCTCCTGCAACCCAAGGGTGCCCAGCCGGATTGCGAGGAAGAAGAGTGATAAGATTATGATAGTGACAAGATACCTCCAAACCTACCTCCATCGTCCCAACACTTTGGGTACCTCTGGCTGAGGGCTGCCTTTCCCTCCAGGGAGAACTGCCAGGCAATGCCAGGCACCCCTACAAGACAAGACTGTGCAGCAGCACTGCAGATATCTGGGTGTGGGCGCTGGGGTGTCATTGCAGCCAGTTTGCTGGTGCCTGAATGATTCCTCACGGCTGCACTCTGACAAACCCAGTGTTTGAGGCCCGGCTGGTGCAGCCCCCGTCACCGGGATTCATGAACCACCTGGCTGATAGGAAAGAGAGCCTATCCCTCAGGCCTTGCACGCTGCACACACAGCAGGGAGCTGGCTCTGTCCTTGCTGCTGCAGCATCATCTCAGTGTTCCCTGGCCATGGAGACAGTGGCTTCCTTCGGGCACCCAGCAGTGTGCATGCCAGCAGAAACTGGTCTGCCCCTTTCCCCTGCTCAGAGGTGCGGGTTGTCCTTTGGAAAACAGGGAATAGGACACTGTTATAACTCCCACATCGTTTTGGCAGAGATAAAGTCCCTCTGAAGGCACAAGGAGAAGGTAACCGTGCTGCAGGATTGCTCCCGGAGGAGCAGGGTCCTTCTTGGTCCCCTTTGACCTCAGCAAGGAGAGTCAGAGCAGTGCCCAGCACGAGGGGCAGCAACTCCCGCCCTGTCCCAGCAGCAGACATTGCTCAAGCTGAGCACGGGCTCTGGCGCTGACTTGGGACACTGCACTGGGAGCCCTGGAGCCGCCCTGCGTCAGTGGGACAACTGCCTGGCCGTGGTCCAGGAGCCAGAGCGTGCCGGAGCTGGCTCGCTTGCCCCTACAGCTGCCGTGGGTGCATGCCGGGAGCGGGAGGAGGGCAACGGAGGACAGCCCTTGAGAGTCAATATAACCACAGCATTAGTGTTACACGGGGAAAGCTAATCTCTGTCCCCAGCCCACTGGATAGGAGTTAAAYAAAATCCAAATCAGTTAACAGCTGGAAGTGAGAGCTGCAGTTTGAGCCTCTCTCCCAGCACCTGGGCAGTGTGGAGAGAGGTCTCAGTGTGGGACAGGTGTCAGCACAAGCAGAGCCAGGCTGGGCAGCCTCCGGGCAAGGCACCTCGTGCACAAGGGAAGGGCTCACAGCCACTCACCCCGTGCCCTGACAAGCAGCAGCAAGACTAGAGCACACGGAACATGGAGCAGCTCCATCAAGGAATGTCCAGTCAACTGCTGGAAGTCAAAGCAGGAGAGGCAGAAATTTGGCACCACAGATCTTCAGAGGGTGCTCTCAACCTCTCTGGCATTAGCTCCAAGAGAAGAGCATGCAACGGAAAAGCTCTTCCTAACCTTTTAATGTCTCCTCTCCAATACAGTTCAGCCTCTCCGTGTACCTTCCTGGTATCCCACTTGGAGACCTGTAGCTCACCTAGAAGGCTCAAAAACACTGTGCCCATCATACCATGTAAACACATAAAGGACCCTGATATCTTTGCTGGAAAGGAATGGGCACTTTTGAAGAACATGCGCTCTGTCCATAATCCCAAGCCTTGGAGCTCTTCCCTGCGCAGGGAGCAAGCGGCGCTGGAGCGGGGCGCGTGAGGAGGAAGCAGAGCAGCAGCAGAGCTGAAGCACTCGCCACACACCTGACCTGCCAAGAAACCAAGGGAGCTTGGGGGTTAGTGGGAGACACGCAGACTCTGAAACC